ATATGTAAGTCCCTTCTATTTATCCAACTAACCTATTTTCACAATATATATTTATCCTAACGATAATAAAAGAGATAAATAGTCAGGCTTAACATCGCAGCTAAATGTACCTATCTTGCTTTCAAAATAACAGTTCTGGCTCCTCAGCAGTATGTTTCTTCCTTTTGTTTGTTGTATTTGTTAGTAAGTATCCTTTTGGCTATAAAGGGGTTACGTGACACTCGATATATTGTTATAATGTGCACGACATTGCAAAATATAACAACCCTTTTAACACGGTATAACGCATACAAAAGAGAGTCATCTGCGCACCTCTCTTCCTTGCATATTATACTCCATTGTTTGGGCAGCGCGCATGGATCGGCTCCAAGGGATCAAGGCAAGAGGTCGCAAATACCCTCAATTTTATATTACAAGTACTGCATGCATTCAGTATAACATATAATCACTTAACAATTTAGAATGTGCCTCGAGCCATTATATCTTAACCTCAGTCTGCTGCCTCGGTGAAATATAACCTCACTCTGAAAGTTGGCGGTTCGCATATTTTGTTGTATTTGAACGCCGGAGCATGGGATATTTCTATATGTCCGCGAGTGTGCAACGTTACCACGCTTTGGGCACTGTATAACGCGTGCTTAAGTTAGTTAGACTGTGCACCTCTCAGCCCTGCTCGTACCCATTGTTTGCAATATCTTAGCTTGGCGCATGTAAAGCCCCCATCACACCAAACTAGTTCTCACTACGTTCTCGAAAATGTTGCCAAACGGGCTCAAACTGTGTGCGAACGGAGTGGAACGTAATAGCAACCGTTTGCGACCTGTTTAAGAACTTTATGGACGGGCTCGGACTGGACTAATGTCTCTAATACGATCCTAGCTCGTTCATTAACAGTCCACAATACGTCCAACTCGTCTGTACCCGTCCACAGTCAGTTCATATCAAGTTCAGATCGGATAAATTTGATATTTCCAAGTAGTCCAAGCCATTTTTACTAGTTCGGAACGTGTTCTTACTAGTTTATAACCCAATCACCCCGTTCAGAGACAGTTCATCTCGTCCTCATCTCGATCTTAGTGCGTTCGATCGCGCTTCTATCGTGCTTTGCAATCCCGTCCTGGTTCGAGTGCTATACAAACCCAGCGCGTTCTCCCTCATTGATGCTCGACCACATCACGTGGTAACACGTTCCTAGTAGGATCGAAGTACGGCAATTCCGTTCGCAGTACGTTAATCTCGTTTTAAGTACGTTTTCACTCTGTCCAATTGCAGGACGGGGAGAATTTTGAACAGTCTCAAAGTTCTAGACCACCCTTCCCGTCCAAGCCAGTCCGAGCCCGTCCATGAAGTCCTTAAAAAGATCGTGAATAGTTGCTAATACGTTCAATCCGTTCACACACAGTTCGAGCCCGTTTGGCAACATTTTCCAGATCGTAGTGAGAACTAGTTTGGTGTGATAGGTGCTTGACTTGAACTTCTTGATCTGCAAAGCCTAAAGCGTTTAAGTTGAACGGGAATGAGGAATGGCGATAACCCGCTGGGTTTTTAAAACTCCCGAGTCAGGACGGGATTGCACACGCCTTAGGAGCGCGTTCGAACGCACTCAGAACGAGATGAGGAAGAGTTAAACTGCCTCTGAACGGGGTGGTCGAGTTAAAAACTAGTTAGAACAAGTGGCGAACTAGTAAGAATGGGTTTGGACGTATTGGGATCGAGGTAGAACTAGTTAATAATGGGTTTAAACTGACTACGGACTGGCTTGGACTGCCTAATCTACCCGATCTCAACTTATATCACAACTCACGTCGGTTTATGACTTGCGTGGCAATCCATCTGAAACTCGTAAACGTCGATGCGATGACTTTCCTTCGTTCAGGCTGATGTGTTTATCTAAGAAGTGTTTTCCCGGAGTCGGGGATACCGAGAAGTACAGAAAGTCTCAAAATCGTCGTTAAAAAAAAAACAGAGCATTTTTCGAAAAAAAAAGAACCTTTTGTGGCACAGCTCGTGGCTGATCTCAGCCGTTTCTCACAAGAACAGGTACCAAGAGGCCGCTGGAAAAAAGTAAAATGCGTTGAAAACTCCCCTCAAAATCACGCCGATATCATATGATAATACATATATCATATACAAACAAAAATCAAAGAGGAAGCATGAAAGGGAAGAACTAGTTTCCACTTATAATACAGATGTAATGTTGAAGAAAATATGCAAACAAGTACATTGTCAGTATGGAAGGAATATCCCATGTGGATTAGCACAGACTGAAACGGTTACAATACATAATCTGATTCATAATCTGTGTTCATTTTCCTATGATGCTTAATCCAAAAAAGAGCTACTTAAGGTGTTTACATTGAACTATATTCATAACCATGAAAACAACAAGGTTATCAAAAGAGTGAAATGCTAAGACTTCACAGTTGCGAGGAGAAAGAGAAGAGTACATGATTTTACGTATGCCCATACATCTAGCAAAACATTATCATCTTGGTCGTGCATGGAAACCTTGACCAATATGCACAAACATTACTAACCTAGCTGCCAATTAATTACCTAGGCTATTGTACCATGAGTACATAGTTGCAGTTGCCAGCTAGGCGTTGTAAGCTTTTTGATAATTTTTGTTGTAACTGTTTTGTCTCTTATTTGCAATGCCATTAATTTTTGTCTCAAAGAGAGAATTCTTCATTTAGTGTATAAAGAAATATTCCAAATTTCTACGGTATGTTTTGAAAAGAAAAGATTGTGGATACAATACTTTGAAAATGTTTTCCCGTGAAAAATGGTGCTTCCACCATGAAACATAGGAAATAGGCATTCTTGGTGTAGGTCTTTAGAAACTGGATAGTTCTCAATGATGCATATTCTTTCGACAGGTCCTCACCTGTAAGGAGGATGAACGACTGACTAGTCTGATGAGACAAGCATGTAAGAGATGTCAGCTTTCTGTCTTTGCCACACTTGCGAGAGAATGAATATTCACATTACATACATGAACCACATGAACAATTCATTACAATATCGTTGAGTTATATTTTGCCAATTTCGAACCATTGTTACCAAACACATGACTAAATTTGCTCAGGTCGTTATGAAACATAGGAAATGGTCATTCTTGATGTAGGTCTTTAGAAACTGGATAGTTCTCAATGATGCATATTCTTTCGACAGGTCGTCACCTGTGAGGAAGAATTCATTCGCATGTAAAAGAAAAACAGTCTCACAGAAAAAAAAAAAGCTTGTTGGACAATGTCAGCAGTATAAAAAATTAGTATTACCCCTGCCCCCACCCCCCCAAGTCTAGCAACACACCTGTTAGTTATATGACAACTTCACAATGAAAATAATCTGATTTGTAGTTATGATATTATTATATATAAAACGAGGACAACGTATCCGTTTCAGAAAAGTTTAATTCTGGGTCACACTTAATCACTTTGGATAAAATACAATTACACGCAGTTTTGCAGAAACTAATCGAAATCTACCTATAAGTACGTCTTATAAATTGCTCCAACAATGCTGAAGGAAAGGTGGAGGTCTTGTCCAGTGGATCGTGAATGACCGTTTGTGGTTATGGCGGCTGGAATCAGTTAAACGCAAGGGTAATATGTAGAATGCTGGGGTACGACGGTGCCCTGGCTGCACCACGATCGGCTAGGTTTGGTCAGGGTTCTGGTGACATTCTTTACGTCAAATGTTTTGGGACAGAAGACAGCCTGGCAGATTGTATCACTGTAGTTAGTTCTTCGTGTGGGCATCACAGTGATGTGGGCGCCGTCTGTTATTCAGGAGGTACGAACTCTTTTGGACATGAGGAATTGACTAGTCGTAATTGTAAATGGCATACTGTTAAAATCGCGACAAAACAAAAAGAATTGAGCTTAAAAGGTCATAAATATTGACCAACATGCAGTCTTATTGCTTTTAAAAACCCGAACACATAATAATATATATATATTTAGGTAGCTTTAGTTCATACATTAAAAAAAAAATTATTCATGGTACGTCTGATGATTGGCACTGACAGTAAATGCTCGTTCAGACAAGACGAGGCAAGACCGTGGCTTTAAATATATATATATATATATATATTACGTTAGTTGTGTCCCTTGGTGCGCGCAGTTCCTATTCATTTACACGTCATGTCTGAACTAGCCTTTAGGAATCTTTCTTACCTTTCATGAATGATTTTTAAGCAACAATGATTTTAATGTTGTCCAAAGTATTTTAAAAACATATTAGTTTTATGCACAAAGACCGTGAAGAACTTTTGAATTACTGACTACCTTTTTTCTCCAGATTTCGTTTGGTTTTAGTCAAATGTATGATCTGCACTCTGTTTTTCTTCTGAACTACCGAAGCGGAAAACGAGTGAAAGAGGGAAAATAATTAAATTCACAGCTTTTGGTTTATATTAACTTTGTTCTTTTCTTTTTTTAAATTCCCTATCAATATATTACGCAGTAGATATGAAAAGTAACAGCTTTAATTGAAACTTATCTATATATAAGACGAAAAAAAACTGTTAAAACCTGAACAAACTTTTTGTTTGATATATATATGTTGAGTTTTTCTCTTTTTAAGAAAGGGATTTCGGCTGTATTAACAAACTTCTTTGTCGCTATCCACACTTATTTCGGGACTCTTAGGCGTTTGCTCTCGAGGATTGTGGGCTCAAAATCAACAACCTTATATGCGTTTTAACCATAAAGTTTGCACTCTTTGGCCCGAATTCACAAAGCAAGGTTTGAGCTCAGACCAAGGTTTGACCTCAAACCTCCTTTTGTTTCGCCAAACCTCCTTTTGTTATTTACAAACCTGGTTTGTAAATAACAAAGGGAGGTTTGGCGAAACAAAAGGAGGTTTGAGGTCAAACCTTGGTCTGAGCTCAAACCTTGCTTTGTGAATTCGGGCCTTTTGGTCTTAATGTGACATGGCAAAGCTATTCACATTTCAAGCAAAAAAAAAGATTCATCACCGGTTCTCCCCCACAGATCCATTTGAAGTTCGTCTTGTCGGTGGGTCTAACGACGCTGAAGGCAGAGTAGAGGTACTGTACGATGGATCCTGGGGAACTATCTGTGATGATTTATGGGATCTGAGCGACGCGAGGGTGGTTTGTAGAATGCGTGGGTTTGATGGAGCCTCGGACGCACCGGGATCTGCTAGGTTTGGTCAAGGATCAGGAGGTATTCTTCTAGATAATGTCGGGTGTGAGGGAACAGAAGATAACCTTGCAGACTGTGCTCATTTAGGGATTCGAGTTCACAACTGTGGACATAATGAAGATGCAGGCGCTATTTGTTACTTAGGAAGTAAGTTAGAAAAAGGCCTTTTCTCTGTAGCTAAATGATCTTTCATATTTGTACAACAAACTATTTGTATTGGGAAGTCACATTATAGGAGAAACTACTATATTTGCTTTAATCTATATATGTATTTAAGTAGATGTAATATTAAAGATAAATTTGCAAACAAGGACATTATCAACCTAAAATGGTTGAGCATGGGAGGGGTATCTGTATTCATTTCTTATGATGCTTAACGTATAAAAGAGCTACGTTAGATTTTAAGTTAATCTATATCAAAAAGTAGTTAACTCATGAAAAACGACAACAATGTAATTAAAGAAAAAAAAAAAGTTAGGACAGGACAGAAAGGCAGGACAGTTATGGGGTGAAAGAGCAGAGCACCTGAGAAGTGAAATTGAATCATGGAATAGGAAGGTCTTATTACGTACAGAGTGAGCATTCCACAAACATATCACGAAGACCCATTTATCTTTTTGGTATTAGTATTCATAACAATTTAGTTGTCGTGATTAAATCCTCGCACGCAAGGTTTGTCATTTAGATCAAACTGAGAAAGAAGCACATGAATTTTACGTTGTTTTCTTCGGCCTCCCCTTTTACTCCTAAGGGCTCTCTTTCTGAGTTTTGGGTTACGACTTATTCCTAGGCTAGTGATTCTTTTCCTTGTAAAATTGGGGTGAAGGAAATGCCGTGTTTTGGTTAATGAGCAAGACATTTAATTGCAAAAGATCAAGACAAAGTGTAGTGTAAGATGTATGGTTTTCATTATGAACGAAAGTTGTTTTAGCCGGGAGTGTTGTTCTATAATCCTCAGAAGTGAGGGGTCCAGGATTACAACTGACATCACCCGACATTAGAATTGTAAATCTGAAACTTGCATCAGTGTTTGAATATTACAACAAACATGATCCAATAACTTTCATAGATGGTGACATTAGACTACAACTTTTATACTGTACTACTACATGGCATTTAGCAACATAAGTACTGGTCAATACAGCGATCAGAACAAAGGTGACCTATCTAGCTACGTCAATTGTTATACCAGGGCCCCGTCTTACAAAGAGTTGATATTGATCCGAATCAATATCAAGTCCCGAAATCAATCACACGTTTACAGTCTCCCATTTCTTATGTACATAGTTGTGATTGATATCAACCACAAATAAGATGCGATTGATATCAACTCTTTGTAATACAGGGCCCTGGGCACATTCATGAATATCAAATGAAAGAATAACATGGATGGGTGACTTTGAATAGTCAACTGCACTGAAAAGCAACAAATACAGTATGGCAGCATTTAAAAACCCACCTTAAGTGTAAAGCACAGGTAAAAATACAAATTCTGATAACATTCAAAACATATCGCTTAGCAGTTGCCTATCAGCTTCTGTGACATATACAGAGGCAGAGAGAGTCGCCTGTCTAGCGCACACCTCTATGCAATTTAAAATAAAATATTGGTATTCGGGTGCAATGACATTTGCTATCTGCATTACCCCAAACAGCCCTCCTGTAAAATTGAAGGGTTGGGTTACGTGCTATGACCTTCAATTCTATTTTCTTCATTTAAGAAGAGTTATACATGATCAAATTATCTTTGAAATTCATATTAAACTTTAAAGGCATCGCTTAACAATGTTAAATCTGATATGCATGGCCCTATGTGATATCAGTGTTTGTGATATGGTGTAATATTGAAGCCCTAATAATACAAATTGCGCTTCAAAATGATCACGAAGTGCCTCAAAAAAGTAAACATCTTTGAGTGACCGGTTTTACCATACTCATTTTCACCAATAGACTGTGGTGTTATAAAAACCGTTAGGTAAACGAAAATGAAATTTCAATTTCCAATCATAATTTTCTTGATAATCAGACAGGCGATCGGCTTTTAAAAGTAATGGGATTCCCGACTGACCTAAAGGTGTATAACTGTGATTGCAGCATATGTATTAATAAGAGAATAAGAGAATTCATTAGTCAATGTGTTTTTTTGTCTACAGTCAAGTGTGGTTAAAGACTATATTTCGGCAGGTCATTCTATTTTTTCAATCGTGTTCCTCACAGCAGGATGTTAGCAGAAATGAAATTACCAATTGAATATACCTTGTCAATGCCCTTGGCTGGGGGATTGGTGGTTCATACTCATATCAAATAGCTCTGGTCTGGATCAAAGGTCATTGGTACGCTATAATATGATACATAGTAAAACCTGCTGTAGCAACCACTTGTATAGAGTACCAAAGTGTGACATCAGACAGAGTTGTCAAGGTTGCAGGTTCCAAACAATTTTGTGCTTAACGGTGGTGTGGTGGTCACATCAGCGCCTAACACTGCTCCAGCCCACTGCTTGAATTACTTTGTGGTGAACCTCATGCTCAGACTCTGTAGTTTGGAATCAGTATCCTAGATGTTGATGGGCAAATAGGACGTTAGCACTTCGGTACTTTATAGGAAGGTGACCCAACACGCCTGGAAGGTACATCTGCACCTGTAATCCTGGATTCCAGATTGATCCACCAAACTACCCAGCTTGTTCTAATATGATATTTTTATACCAAATTTGTATATACCGGTACACATCCGTTTGTGTGAAATGTGTCTGAATGTTACTAAATAAAATAGCTAGAGGGGAACTATAACACCTTAATAAAAGGCAGCAGGAGATTATTTTCATATTTAGATATCTGCTATCTGCCCCAGGTATTGATATGATAGTTTTATTTCAATATATTTTTCTTTGTATTTGATATGCTGATATTGTGATCGATATGCACTTTGCTGGTATTGACCTTACATACATGTACAGGAATGTATGTTTATGTGTCTACTGATGTTTGTTGTCTGCATTTGTCGGCACTTGTGAACTGGTATGAAGGATGGCATCTGCAGGGCTGGTGATATCCTGTTGTATATTTGGTGGGTTTTCAATAAACGAACAAAGAAGACATTATTGTACCTTGAGATAGGGTGGTAATGTCAAAGGTCATTGATCAAATAATCTCCAAGTTTTTATTTCTAAAGGAAGATGTTTGTGTAGATTAGATGGAGTGGTGCTTATTTTCAACCAATGCTCTTCCTCAAATTTGTTCTAATTTATGATTTTGAGCAGATATTAATGAATGCCTTGTTGCCAGCTCGTGTGATGACACCACAAGTTTGTTTGTATGAACACAGTAGGAAGCTTCAACTGCATGTGTAAAACTGGCTATGAACATCAAACTGGTAGCACAACGATATGTGTTGGTATGACATTTGAAACATTTGGGTTTTGGGCACATTGGTTCTGATATACTCTGTCTAGTCTTTGGTGTATATAAAAAGCAGTTAAAAAAAATCCATTTCTATCAGAAGTTCAAGGAGAACCAAGGATACACGCACCGCACGCAACCTCTGGAGCTGCCAGTTCCTCGTAACGGTGTTTCATGTACATTTGTAGCTGGTTTCATTTTCTATCTAGAAATACAACTATGTATTGATCCACCGGCCTTTTTGCTCACTGCAAACGGGGTCTTAATTTCATTAATAATAAAAATAATAATAACAATATTTATAAAGCACAACATATCTATCTCTAGAGATGCTCAAGGCGCATACAAATAACTGGCTTAAAATCATTCTGAACACTAACTAAGCAGTAGAGACGTTCCTTGGACAAACAAAGTGTAATTAAAAATGTGCAGAAGATATTCACTTAATCCACCGCATGGTCAAATATTCGCCAGGTTAGATATCTACCTTTATTTTTCTAATTTTTCTATGCTCACTTCTCAGCTATTATAAATTTTTTCACTGCATTTATAAAGCTTTTGTACAATATTTGTAGTCTGAAATGTTCTGGACAGTGTTGAGTTTAAATGCGTTGGATTTTATGTCTTAGTCATTCCCGACCCTCTCAGGATTCCCTTAGAACTGGTATGAATGATGGCATCTGCAGGGCTTGATATATTCTTTCGTATATTTAATTGGCTATTAACATACAAACAAGTAGGATAAGATATGAAGCCAACCTAGCTAACATCATTTTCCCCTCTCTTTTGGTCCAGATACCAATGAGTGTTCGAGCAACCCCTGTATGAATGGAGGGAACTGCATGGACTTGGTCAATGGATACACATGTTCATGTCCAGATGGATTCATCGGAACTCACTGTGAAATTGGTAACATATCATTTTCTATACACGGCGAACTTTCACTTCCGGAGTAACAGTTGGCCGCGCAATTAGACTACCTCCAGAGCAGGGCCAAATGCGATGCCAGTTTGGCCTCGCATTTGGCTTTTTGCGCGTTTACAGTGCTAGGCCTGGCCGCTGCTCGGCCCGGCCCGGCCCGGCCTTTTTGCTCACTGCAAACGGGGTTATAATTTCATTAATAATAAAAATAATAATAACAATATTTTTTAAGCGAAACATATCTATCTTTAGAGATGCTCAAGGCGCATACAAATAACTGGCTTAAAATCATTCTGAACACTAACTAAGCAGTAGAGACGTTCCTTGGACAAACAAAGTGTAATTAAAAATGTGCTTGAGAAGATATTCACTTAATCCACCGCATGGTCAAATATTCGCCAGGTTAGATATCTACCTTTATTTTTCTAATTTTTCTATGCTCACTTCTCAGCTATTATAAATTTTTTCACTGCATTTATATAGCTTTTGTACAATATTTGTAGTCTGAAATGTTCAGGACAGTGTTGAGTTTAAATGAGTTAGATTTTATGTTTTAGTCATTCCCGGCACTCTCAAGATTCCCTTAGAACTGGTATGAATGATGGCATCTGCAGGGCTTGATATATTCTTTCGTATATTTAATTGGCTATTAACATACAAACAAGTAGGATAAAATATGAAGCCAACCCAGCTAACATCATTTTCCCCTCTCTTTTGGTCCAGATATCAATGAGTGTTCGAGCAACCCCTGTATGAATGGAGGGAACTGCATGGACTTGGTCAATAGATACACATGTTCATGTCCAGATGGATTCATCGGAACTCACTGTGAAATTGGTAACATATCATTTTCTATACACGGCGAACTTTCACTTCCGGAGTAACCGTTGGCCTCGCATTTAGACTACCTCCAGAGCAGGGCCAAGTGCGATGCCAGTTTGGCCTCGCATTTGGCCTTTTGCGCGTTTACAGTGCTAGGCCTGGCCGCTGCTCGGCCCGGCCCGGCCCGGCCTTTTTGCTCACTGCAAACGGGGTCTTAATTTCATTAATAATAAAAATAATAATAACAATATTTA